TAGATAGAAGCCAGACTAGAAAAGCCCCAAAAAGCCAGTGAAAGCTAACACATTAGCATTAAGAAGCCACTGACAAGCCCTTATCCGGCTTTGCTTCACTTTTATCCTATACATATTTACAGTTAATGGTCATTCCCTACAATCAATTGATGCACAGTTGGTATTTGAAGTAACAACTTTCTACCTTACATGTCAGTTCAACTTATTTTAACTTGGTCCGAGAAAATCATTACTCCAGTGATAATTTTCAGTGAATGATGTATATTTAAATACATAGCCACATGTTCTAGTAGAAATATAGTTATTTCTATATCTGTTTTATAAAAATACCCTGAATTAAATATCTCTGTTGTTTTATGTGGATGGGGAAGCATTGATATTGATTATGTGATCCTTATCTTTATGCATGTAGTCCACCTGTTGAACACAATTCTGCCTTGAACTTATTCATTGAGTATATATACAGAATTTATATTTGACACTGAATGGAAATAATTATGTTATACCTAATTGGAGACAGCCTAAACAGTGCACTCAATCCAACTTAATTTAAGCCGGCAGTCAAGTGTCACAGAGACAAGTTGGTCTTGCTTGGTTATTTGGATTATCTTATAATACAACTTTCTCATCAGTGTCACTTCTGGATAATGTATCGCATTAATTCAAGTACATTTTGTTAACATTACCATCTTTTTCTACCTGCCATCTGCATTTTGCTTGATAATTCAACCCTGCAGCCACCCTTATGGCCCATGTGAAAACCTAATATCAAAGATCTTATAACAACTTATCACCCAGAATAGTAAGCACATGCTTCAATATCTTGTCTGAAAAGTCTTTGCACAGTGTCTCATCAATTTGAATACAAAAGCCATACTCCCCATTTTACAGGTTCATAAATTGTGTTTAAGCTATCAAAAAGCTCACAAATTACCCCTAAACATATATATGTGAACAGATTTTTTATTACAATTGTCAGTTTTCTATAAAGCTACTTATCAACTTGTTTCATGAGTCTGATTTCTTAATGCCATAACTTACCAGAATAATGAATACTTTTGCTTTCACTGCACTGCTATGTCACATAGCTTAGTATATCTACCCTGTGGCCACTACATCTGTTTATCTGCAAAAACTTACTGATTTTGATTGACCCTCACCATTACCCTGAGCAAGAGATTTGTGCTTGTACACTTTGCATTGACCAGTGGAAAGCAGATGACACTTGCTGTCCAGTTTGCTTTGCAGAGGTTTCATATCAAGGTCAAGCACATAATTGCACTGGTAATTGAACAAATATTTGTCAGTTGGGTCAATTATTTTTTGCTAATGTCATAAATATACCTTTAATTACACTTATCAGCTGATTTCTGACCTATTTAATCTAACATCTGCACAATTTGAGTTTCCTCCCACATTAGATGTGAACAATAATCATAGGAATATAAGTCTTGCACTAACACCTGTTAAATCAAATACTTCCTTTTCTGTCTAACCTCCAGCTACGCTACCCAAAGCAGGTATTTTGTATTTTATCATTTTGACAATTTTAAAAAATCAGTTATGTACATATAGAGTATTTTAAGTTTACAAAGGAAGGTGCAATTACTTATCTCACTGATCAGAATTTTAGTAGGGATATTATAAAGGTGTCTGTCAAGTTCTGGTTGTTGGATTTGGCAGTGCCGAGGCTATGCAAAATGCCAAAAAGAAGCCAAAGGTGGAAACCCTATCCCCCATTAAAAGGGCTGAAAAGAAAAAAAAGAAAACATTAGGTCAAGGCAGCAGTTGATAACATCAAATGAGAGAGCTAAAAAGAAAAGTTATACAGACAAAAGAAGTAGAACTGTGGGGTAATATTTCAAATTATGAGTGATGAAGAATTGGATAAGGAGACCAAGACAATCACTTTTAGAAAACCAAGCTGGACAACACTAGAAATAAACAATCTGATTGAAGTGTTAGACCAGCAATTGGAAACAACAAGTGTCAAATTACTTCTGTGTCAGGTCTGATGTACCCAGCACACATCAAAAACCTAAGAACTACCATAACTTTCCAAAGTTTGTGACTCCGGATCAATTCCTTTTATTGTTCAAAAACTTTTTTGCATTTAACTATATTCAGTATTCAACTGTGTTATTCACCAGTGTTACTACCTTGTTTTTTATCATTTTGACTATTTTAAAACATCAGTTATGTATATACAAAGTATTTTTATAATAGACTCTCCACAATGTACGTAAAGCTTGATGTGCCGACCCATCAGAGGGATACCTTCTACAAGCACATGGGACACGGGAAAGAAATCAACAAGAATGTGTATCAAACACCCAATTTACACAATACATTAAAATATGTGAGCCCTTTCCTACAGAAAGCTGACAGCAGAAGTAGAATATAATCTTATTTCTATAACTTCAGATGTGAGAGCTGAGAAGAAAAGTTATACAGACAAAAGAAGAAGTAGAACTGCGGAGTAATATTTCAAATTACAAATTATGAGTTATGAAGAATTGGATAAGGAGACCAAGACAATCACATTTAGAAAACCAATTTGGACAACCTTCCTACCTTTAGTCTTATCTATAATGTAGTGTGTGCTGTATGCAGAGTGCCAGAGAGGAACAGTCAAATTATGGTCCTTTCAACAAAACCAGGACTTAAATCATGAACATTGAAAAACAATGGATATCTTGTGAGTCTACATATCACTCAACAGAAATCAGAGTTTATATGAGTTGGTGAGGCTCCTGAAGCCGACACAACAAATCAGGAGAAGATTAATACCTGATATATACCCATCAATTGTTGATGCTTTCTGGATCTTTGAATGTCATTCTACTTTGAATATATAGCTATTCAAGTACTTGTTGATATTCTACTCCAAAAGTTGAACTGTTGTTATTTGTTAATATAAAAAATGATACAATTTCAGATGTCCATTACTCTTGATTACAACAAGTGTGAAGTAGACCACAGGAAGTACACATATCTAGTCAATCAGACTCAAAATGGAAAGGTCAGATTTCAACTAATAATAAAAAAATTGGACAAGCCACAACTGCTATCATAAGAAATAACAATAACCTCTTTGAACCCAGTACAACCGAAAAATACTATGAGGACTGAGTGCTTGATATCATCCCGGGTAATCAATATCCTGTGTTCAGAATTTCGTTCCAGCAAGACAGTGACCCGAGTTGTGTTTTTACTGAATCCCGATAAATATGGCGTCTCGTTCGCCACTGGACGAGCCAGGTGACGAAAATGTGACAAACAAATCAGATAGCATAAGGTAAGAATGAATATAGAGTAATGCATCCGGTGCTGGAATATGTTTTCAACATGTTCATAAACGATTATCCATATGTGTAGGCTATTAATGCAAATCGAAGCATGAAACCAACATGACCCAATTCGAAAAGCTCGCAGAAAACGATATCAGCGAGTCTTTCTTTGCCTTCAGTAAGTAATGATGGATACTCTGAGCATTGTATAACTGTAAAGTATACCTTATTAGTATGTCTCAACTTCACCCCGGATGAAAAATATTGTTTTGTTCTGAACCTAAGGGAGCATATCAAAAGATCAATGTCGGAATATTAACTGTATTTGCATAGTTAGGGAGGAAGGGGGTTAATTACCTCAAAAGTTAGCTTACAAACACTGAATAATTTTCATTATAATATATAGTATGACCAACAAAATCAACATTTCTCAAACACAGTTATGAGGGGGAGGGAGGGGGGTCACAGATTAACTGTGCAAATACAGTTAATAATCCTACATTGAACTTTTGATATGCTCCCTAATCTAGATGCTATACATGTATAGTCTTCAACTTTCCTCTGGCCTCTTACATATAGGTCTAGAGTAAACAGTCACTATATGGGGCAATTCACTCAAAAATGGCACTATATTTTGTCTGAAGGCCTAACATATTTAATTTTTAATGGGATACCACAGTGACACCTCAATGCATATGCCAGTATCAAAATGCAACAAGAGGGGTGGTTGTGTAATCAATCAAAGTGGCTAGTTGTCTTTGTATGTGTAAGTGTGTCACGTTTATGGACTATTTGGAGACAATATTTGCATGGTATGGTGTGGGAAGCACCCATCGATAGATATGTATCGAGAGGATGCATAGAATTACAAAATGCGTCGTGTTTACAGCAGTTTTAGGGTAAGTACTCTATTATCGCCCGCTCCTGGATTTTGAGAAATATTTTTTTCCTGATATATTCTTCAATTCTTGTTGATTCCTCGATGTTTCTTGAACTTTGTGAAGCGGGGTGGGCGCTTATTAGAGAGTGGGCGGTAATTACAGAGAATACGGTACATGTATCTTCTTGTATGCTTACTTATATTATCCTGCATGTTTTAATATATGTATGTAAGTAATTTTTCATGTTAGTCTGTATCTTTAAACTTTATTAGGTACTGATCTACTGATCCAATTGGTGGATAGGCAACCAAAGTTCTACTGAACGAAACAATATTATTATTTCAATGTGTCCTATTAGCTACAAACTGGACAGCTATCCTCAATTTTGAAGACTTAACATCCAGATGAATAAGTAAGTGAATTCTGAACTCAAAAGAATTAAGTATTTTGGCTTACATGAGCATTTTTACTTGTGTTATTTTACGATTTTTACTATAACTCAAAAAGTAATGGAGCGATTTTGTTCATATTTGATATGTGAATCCTCATGGTCATGGCAATTTAGGACACTTTGGCTAGTAGGCGGCCATTTTGAAAATGGCCATCATTTATTTGGCTGTTCGATGGGATTTGCTACGCTTTGGCATTGCTGTTATCTAGTGAATGGAAATGTTTTGAGAAAAATATTTTTCATTAATTGCTTTTATACTGTGTATTGTTGTAACTGTTCTGTTAAATATTCATTGTCTGTATTTCAAAATGATTTATACTTTCTTTCTTTAAGACTGTTACTGTTATGAATTTATAATGAAACTGAATTTCTACTTCCAGGGTGACAAGTAACATTGGTGTAGCACACAGTATTATTGTTCCTGATATATACAAAAGCTATACTCGGAGCAAGATGGCAAGCTGCGAGAGGTGTAAAAACCAGCTAAATGCTTCAACAACTTCAACAACAGAGTCTGATTGCAGTGTATTTAGCAAATCGTGTTCCCATGTGCCTAAGAAATTCTCGCTTGGAAACCTGCTCGCTCATTTAAATTCATCAGGGAAAACTGTTAGTGTTGAAAGGCCTGATCAAAAGGGATTCAAATTTTTTATGGAAGGCTACATTCACAAAGTTTGTGCCAAAACTCGATCATCTTAAGAATGTGAAATCCAAGCTCATTGTTATAGGAGTATGAGAAAGAATGAGACACCTCATAAACTGACTGTGAGAATCAAACAAACTGGTGATGTAAGTTATGGATGGTGTAGTTGTGTTGCAGGAGCATCAGGTGTGTGTAGCCATACATTTGCGCGTCTGTAAACTGTGAACCAGGCATCAACTTTCAAATGGGAACATTTTAAGGACAGTGGCACATGCACAGATTCTGCCCAACAATGGAATGTTCCTAAGAGGAAAGATGGACTTCAGGCAGAGCCAATAATGAAAACCACTACTGTCAATTCAAAATATGGTAAAGTTACAAAGGGTATCAAGCCCACTTTGTATGAGGCAAGATCCCCAAGTGTTAGGGATGACAATCTTGGTGAAATACTATGGTCAGACATTTGTTACAACCAACCTGAACATGACCAAGGAACAATGTATTTCCTTAGAATGTAAAACCAGATCCCAGAATGAATATTCAGATTGGAAAGAAGCTAGAAAGTCAAGGGTAGCTGCAAGCAACTTTGGGCTTATATGCAAGAGAAGAACTATTACAACAAAATTTGTAGAGGGTCTGGCAAACCCCAAAAAATTATTCAAGTTCAGGCCATAAAGTATGGAAGGGAGAATGAACCTGAGGCTGTAAAGCAGTATAAGTCCTACATGGACAATTCAGGGAAACCTGTTTCTGTCCATGAGTCCGGGTTCATTGTCAATCCAGGTATGCCATGGGCAGGGTGTACACCTGACCTTAAATTAGTTGATCACAACTCGGGTAGTGTTTTGCTTGAAGTCAAGTGCCCAAATTCAGTCAAGGAACTCACTCCCACTGAATTGTTAAAGCAAGAAAAGTTTTATATGTCGCCAGGTCAAAATGGAAAACCCACTCTTGATAGGAACCACAACTACTACTACCAGTGTCAAGGTCAGATGGGTTTATGTGGAATTGACTTTTGTGATTATGTGGTTTATACCAAGAGAGGGCTCTTAATAGAGAGGATTTCATTTGACGAACCCTTTTTCAGTGACATGATGTTAAAACTTGCCAGGTTCTACAATGATCACTACTTAGTGTACTTGACTCAAACTTTGTAAACAAGATTATATCCAAGTAGCTCTGCATTGTAAGGTCTTTGGTCTTAGCCTTCAACTTGACTATTCATATTTGTGGCATTGCTCTATTATTGGTAATCGCACCGAACAAAGTTCGAGGGGATATAGGAAAGCTGTCTGTCCATTCGTCCATCTGTTTGTGTCCGGGCGATAACTCAAATACCTGTTGATGGATGACTCAAATTTTATGCATTATGGGTAAGACCACTGATCGAGAAGGAATTTTCAATATGGCCACTTTATTCAAAATGGCTGCCATTTTTCATAAAAAATGTTATCTTTGATAACTCAAATACTAGTTGAAGAGATTTTCAAGATGGCAGCTGATTTTTAAAATGGTGGCCATTTAACATTTAACATTTAAGGTTCACAGTTCTAGAAAAAGTTCTGAGATTCTGAAATTTGACCATTTTTATTATTGATGTGTTGTAGAGCCCATACATCAATTTTTCTTAGAAATGATTGTACAACTGTACAAATAGATCTAATAATATACATTCATGATGCAATTTCTATTCCATTATAATGTATTCTTTAGTATTACCCCTTGTTTGTATGACCAATAATCATCATTCTAAACTTACAAGTTCAAATTCAAAGACAGTCTTATGCAATATCACTTGTCTTAAATATTTTATTCATCAACCCTGGTAAATCAATCACAATAAAACAAGATCATGTAAAATTTATACCAAAACAATATCCCATGTTTTTGAAGGATATTATTATATTAAAGTATAGTACTCTTTTATTATCTCATAGTCTAAATATGAAAAATTGAACTTTTGACATTTGAGGTGAAATGAACATTGTTTTACAGTTTAGTTTACATACTATGCATTAACAGATTAAGAGTCCATTGCAGATAATATTGGGTCTTGAAACAGAGTGAGGTATGCACATACTCCCCAAATCTGATTGACAGTGCCAGCTGTTGTTATCAAACAATTTTAAGATCTGCATCAAGTTTTCCATTCATTTCTTTGTTACAGGAAATGGATTTGCTGGTTTTGACCAGAATGTGTTAGCGGTAGCACTACTTCTGAGAGGAGAATACATTGGGACAGTTGGAGCAGCGGGCGATGGAAATGAGGCAGGGGCCTTTGGGAACCGCTGGTATAAACACATGGCCTACCGCCAAGTTGTCCTATGGAGACATGGACGCCTCACCAGAGGAGAGAGAAAGGTGATCCCTTCATGTGTAGTTCTTAGAATAAGAGCACACTTCCCAGCAGCCAATGGCAGATACGTGGGCTTTCTTCCAAGTGAAACAGGACGCATAATTAAGAAGCATATTTGTGGCTTTGTATAAAAAACCTCCTACCTCATACCAACCCACCCACGTACGTTGGACATGATACAGTCTTTGAAGGGTTCAATTTTAAAGATCTTACTTTTTAAATCTTAGTGATGATGAATTATAGATGCATTTGAAAGACCCTTGATAGCAAATTGCTACTACAGGCCAGCTGGTTATCGATTCCCACTCAGGACATCGAATTTAGCACACTTTATTTCAATTTCTTTATCTGGCTTATTGGACCTATGCTCGCGGTCGTTATTTAGTTATTGTAAAAATGTTAATAATTAGAGCTATTTTTAGATTTAAAATCTTTAAAATTGAACCCTTCAAGGCATAGTGTATTTGTTTAGAGTGCCCTTACATTGTTTATTTTAAGTTTGTACAATGCAATGTTACAGATTACAGCCACAATTAGGCGATTAGTTTATATCCAACATTTCATTTTCATAAAAACAAAAACTTACAAATTCAATAAATATTTTGCCACTTCCGTATTTGTTTTTGCTCCAATATCAGCTTTCACGGTATTCCAGCGGCTGATTTCTGAACCTATGTACAACCGACTCTCATTAAATTTCCTTGTATATGCCTCTAACCTTCTTTTCACTAGTTGGTGGTCTAGGTGGTCTCCCTCTTTTTTTGGTTTACGAGTTGTATCCATTTTGTTTTCTTCTGGCATCATCCGGGAATCTCACAAGTGACGTCATTTAAAGTTCGCCAGCCAATCAGACTGGAGTGGGATATTTTAATTTTCATTTCGACTATCGGTTGATGCAGGAGGAAATTTTGGCTGTGATTAATCTTTAAATTGATGCCGTAAGCGAATGAGTTGAAGCCTAAACATTGGTAAGTACACAGACAAACTTCTTTTACATATCATGACGAAAACATCAAGGGGCTTACTCTAATTGTGTTTTTAAACGACCCCTTTACTTTAATTTAAAATATTCCTATTTTTACTCATTCTGAATAAAAGAAATCAATTTGTCAAAGTTGAGTTGAGCAATAGTATTTCAATGCAGCATGTGTTCTCATTGGCGGTGCAGGCTCTATGAAAATACCAAAGGAAGTCAAAGGTGGATCCCTACTAAAAGGGTAGACAAAAACAAAAACATGAGGTCGAAGCAGCTGCAAGTACCTTTAATTCATTCCTTCCTCATGCACCTTATTTGATAACATCAAACACATGGTTCAATTAATAACAATAACAACAATGTGCTTTATTATACTCAACTGAAGTAGTTATAAATATATTATTTGGTTTTTCAAAGGTATATTCTTTCTATAGTTTCAGATGAGAGAGCTGAGAAGAATAGTTATATATACAAAAGAAGTAGAACTGTGGAGCAATATTACAAATGACATTATGAGTGATGAAGAATTGTATAAGGAGGCCAAAACAATTACTTTTAGAAAACCAAGCTGGACAACACTAGAAACAACAAGAGTATCCAATAACTTCTGCGTCAGGTCTGATAAACCCAGCACGCGTCAAAAACCTAAGAACTACCATAACCTTCCAAAGTTTGTGACTCTGGATCAATTCCTTTTATTGTTCAAAAACATTTTTGCATTTCACTATATTCAGTATTCAACTCTGTTACTTACAAGTGTTACTACCTTGTGTTTTATCACTCTGACTATTTTAAAACATCAGTTATGTATATACAAAGTATTTTTATAATAGACTCTCCACAATGTACGTAAAGCTTGATGTGTCGACCCATCAGAGGGATACCTTCTACAAGCACATGGGACACGGGAAAGAAATCAACAAGAATGTGTATCAAACACCCAATTTACACAATACATTAAAATATGTGAGCTCTTTCCTATAGAAAGCTGACAGCACAAGTAGAATATAATCTTATTTCTATAACTTCAGATGTGAGAGCTGAGAAGAAAAGTTATACAGACAAAAGAAGAAGTAGAACTACAGAGTAATATTTCAAATTACAAATTATGAGTTATAAAGAATTGGACAAGGAGACCAAGACAATCACTTTTAGAAAACCAAGCTGGACAACATTAAGTCTTATCTATAATGTAGTGTGTGCTGTATGCAGAGTGCCAGAGAGGAACAGTCAAATTATGGTCTTTGCAACAAAACCAGGACTAAAATCATGGACATTGAAAACAATGGATATCTTGTGAGTCTACATATCACTCAACAGAAATCAGAGTTCATATGAGTTGGTGAGGCTCCTGAAGCTGACACAACAAATCATGAGAAGATTAATACAGGATATAGACCCATCAATTGTTTGAGATGTTTTCTGGATCTTTGAATGTCATTCTACTTTGAATATATAGCTGTTCAAGTGCTTGTTGACATTCTACTCGAACAGTTGAACTGTTGTCATTTATTAATATATAAAATAACACAATTTCAGATGTCCATTACTCTTGATTACAACAAGTGTGAGGTAGACGACAGAAAGTATACATACCTAGTCAATCAGACTCAAAATGGAAAGGTCAGATTTCAACCAGTAAATAGAATTGGACTAGCCACAACTGCTATCATAAGAAATAATGACCTCTTTGAACCGAGTACAACTGAAAAATACTATGAGGA